CAGCAAAATAATCCAGTTAATGGACAGATTTTATGCAGTGAACTGCTTTTATAATCTCTGTTTGACTGCAGTTTAAATCATTCACATGTATTTTGTGACATCAAAACCTTCAAAATCACATGCCAGTCAATTGTCACGTCAGCTTTTTGCAATAATGACAAGAGAGTGGCTCCATGTTTAAAAGCCGACATGATTTAAATTCTTCCTCCAGTCAAACGTTGTGAGCATCCTTCAGTGAAAGAAGCGACATGCTCCTCACCTCACTGTCTTTTTATATAGACAACTGAAAGACATTAACAGTCGCAAAGCCACTGAGAAGCTAACCAATTTGAGAGCACACCAGTTAGCAAATCCTACATCTCAGTATGAGTGCAGAAACATTTCTAGGACAATGTTTTTGTTGCTGTGGAACATCGGTTTAATTTGAGTCATGTAAGCAGTATCTTCATCTACGATGAGCGGTCAAGCTCATCCTTCTCTCTGGTGGGCCTGTAAGAATGCCTGGCCTCATGAACTGAATGGTGATATTACTTTTACGCATCTGTGCTGGAGGCCTCGGGCCCCTTCAGTCTGCTCTATGGACTGCAACAAGGCAAGTCAGACAGCCATGGCTGGCTGTGGTTGCTATAGAGGCTAGAATGTATGTCTGTGTGTGTGTGTGTGTGTGTGTGTGTATACATAGGACCCAGACATGCCTTACAGACTGGGCCTGGTCTAGTCTCATCAGACCAGACATGACCCCAGTGACAGTCTCGTCATTTAAGGTGGAGAGACGACAGCTCAATACTGTGTGTGCCCACCGTGGAAAGGCAGGTCAATTCTCCATAGAGGCAGCATAGAAAAACATTTTGGCATGGTTACTATGAAACAACCAGCTATGGAAATGATCCTATTTGTGCCCATTTTTTGTCTTGTGTGGAAGAAATAAAGGTTTCCAGGCTTTTGCGTGGTCTATTTTTGTTCCTCTCGTTTGGTGGGTGCATGGTGAGCTGCCTGACAGGTCCCTGACATGATAATGAGGGAGTGTGTGTGTATTCAAAAGATAGAATGTAGGTGAATAAAATGAAATAAATGGACACATGAAAGCTACACAGTGAAGGGCATTTTACCTGCTTTTAGAATTAATGTACATAAAAACAGAGGGAAATGATTCCCTTTTATGCCATTAATTTATTAATTATTAATTAATTAATTATGACATTTTTTCATCTGAGAAAAATGATAAACTGAATGTCCTAAAATTTAAAAAAAAAAAAAAAACTCAGACTGGGGCAAACACACAAAGTAAACATTCTTTATTTTAAAATGATTCACAAAAAATGTCAAAAAAAATGCCTCTGTTTTGTTAGTGAAGCATCCAGCAAATATGTTTGTATATATGTGTTTAAAAAATCAATCAGAAACATCAGAATACTGACAACTTGGCTTTTCATGTTTTATGCTAATATTAATCCACATATCATGAAACGAGAGATAAATCGACAGTGGAACTTGTATTTGAAAACCTCCATGAGCTGGATTTTAGCAGGAGTTTAATTTAATGAGCCGATTAACCGATTTATTAGATAAAGAATTACCTGTTAAGGCTGGTCTTCACTGCTCTGCACTTTAACCAGTCTCAGTCAGATTAAAAGTGTGAAATAAGACGACCCCTTGTGGACAGTGAATGAAAATTATCTCCTTTTTAAAAATTTATTTTTTTATTTTTGAAGATCAGAAACTGAAAACGCAAAACTAAAAGACACAGAGGTATCCAGTGCACAAGATTAAAAAGTAAATGTATACATAAAAGAAACCTGGATAATAAATGAACAAATTAATTGATATTTGGACTCATCTAGTACAGCTTGTCTCGTGTTTTAACACATCATAAACGCAGGAATATCTACACTAAACACTTACTACACAAAGCCCTTCAGGAAGAGTAAGCACGTGATTGCTGCTTTTTAGAAAAAATCGACCAAATAAAGACAAATAGATCCTTTTTGGGCTGTTGCAGTATTTGTGTGCAATGCAGAGGGACAATAATTAAACACTTTGGTCTTAGCAGACTGCTGTGAGTGTTTCTGAC